CATTAAGTAATAATAAGTCATTCTACGAAAATTCTATTTTAGTGACAAAAATTTCGATTCCATCCACTTCACCGACACAGTTTACCGAATAGCGATAGATCATTTCACCGACATATTAGGTTAGAATTAGCAGGTTTTTTATCGGTGAAATGATTTTCGATGAAATGACTGTCGGTAAACGACACGGATCCAAAAATTTACATGTTTGTTTAATCTCAACTTCAATTAATCAAATTAATCATTTCTTATTGCTGTTATCATGTGAAAGTAATAAGTAAGAATTTACTTAACGTTAATAATATTATCTAATATCAATTAAACAATAACTGATAAGTAATTATTACTTAATAAATTACTTTGCCCATCCCTAATGCAGGCCATCTTCTTTTTAAAGATAATCCGAATACAGTAGCTAAAATTTAAAATTCTGTATTTTGTATACTAAGAAAAAACATACAACACTTTAATTAATTGAAATGACTAAGCAACATCTAGTACAGTATAAGCAATGATACACGAAATTTAAGGCATTACAGAGGAATAAATTAATTAGCTACAAACTATAACACAGTATTTAGCGTTAGTCTTTCACCAGAGGCTGTGGTTTCGCAGTTTTTCAAGGGTTACGGTTTTGTCGGAAGTTAGGTTTTGTCAGGGTTTCGTCTTTCGTCAAGGGTTTTGTCATTTAAAGGGTTATGACTAACAACTATAATTGAGGATAAGAAATTCTCAAATACAATATAAGTATATATAGTCAAAAGTTGTATTTTTTTAGAAATTATTTAATTAATAGTTACAAGGTTCAAGAAAAATTTTCAACTTATATTTTGCTTATTAATGTTTATATAATTAATTAATAGTTCAATTATCTTCTATACTATCGCTATCGCTATTAAAATTTTAATTATCTGTTCGCTTTTTGTAATCTTATTGGTTAATTTCGAGTGATCGTGATTTGGGTCGTCTGTTGATTTTTTTTTTTAAGTCATCTTTTAATAATCTTTTTTTCTATTTGAAAAACTTCAATCTCATCAATTTTAGACCATAGAGTTAAACTAACGCTAAAACCATAATTGGACTCGATAAGCTTTGGGTAAGAAGATGGACTAAAAGAAATCCCTTTATCTACATTAAAAATATTGCCTATGCAAATATCATTTTCACCAAATTGTGGTCCGTATTCTTTGCAATGACATATCGCTGGTTTATTTTCTAAAGCATAATTCATTCTTTGATGTGTTATCGAAAATATAAACGCATCCTAATAAAAAAAAAAAAAAAAACATTTATAGATTAATAAATTTTCTATTATCGTCAGCCGATCTAGTTAATTTTAATAAATCAAAAACAGAATTTTAACATACGTACCCTGCTTTTATGCCAAGACGGAACAGACGTCCATGGTACTGGGGTGTAACCACCAACTATAATCTCATGTGAATTTATCGTAGTTTTTATTAATACAATTGTTGAACCTTGGTTATCACATCTTTCATGAAAAGCTGAGGCAGTAAATCCATCTCGACTACCACGCATTAATAGCTTATAATCATATTTGAAAAGAGGAATTTTACCATTCCAACGAGTATTTTCTCCAAGCCATTTATTAATCATCGTTATATCATCTTCTGAAGTAATTATGACCGAATTTATGAGTTTGTATCTTGGTTTAGTATTAATAGATTTTGGTATTGCACTCGGTATATAATAATATCGTTCAATCTCACTAAATAAATCTGTTGGAAATATCTGTTTGTAAGGTAATACCTTGTTTTATAATATAGTGTATAGGTATATAAATGAATGTTAAATATGATATTAATACGACAGATTTAATTTCGCATCGTGCAAATTTTTGATTTTACAGTAAGGAGACAAAAATATAATCGCCATTCGTTTTTTATTATGATTATACTGTAGTTGTAAAAATCCATGTTATCAAAACAAAATTATATCGGCATGGATATATTTGAATAAATAATGATACACAACTAGAGAAAAAAATATTATTATATGTTAATCACCTGATTTTTAGCATTTTAGCATTTCGCCGACCAGATTGGCCAAATGTCGATCACAAGGCGAAATCTAGCAGAATTATTTTTTGTCAAAAATTTAATTTTTGCATAACGACAATAAAAGAATGGATAATTTTTGTCTCCTTTCAGTATATGAGCTACTGAAATGTGCAGTAGTTCCAATGAAATTTTCACAGCAAAATTTTTATTGGGAAAATTTCATAGTAATAGAGTGGGTAGAGAGTGGGTGAATAGGCTCAATGCTAATTTAAATCATATCGTTGGAGAGCAGTTGATTATAATAATATTATAATACCATATTGTAAAAGTCCACACTATTAATTTCTGAAAACCGAATTAATGGTATTAAATTCTCTAACGTTTGTTGTAAATTTAGAATATTTTCTGTTGACCAATCCTTAAAATTACTGCTTAATGAGGGGTTTTTTGTGATTCCCCATTTTAATAATATGTTCCAAATATCAATTTCTTCCATGTTAAGGTCATCTCTTTTTAAGAGTGGGATAAAACTTTGTTCATCCATTAAATTAAAATCATCAGCTTGAAACAATACTTCAGGAGTCTTGCATATAAGATCTATGCAATGATCCTTTAACTTTTGAGAAGATTTTAATTTGGATACTGTTTGATATACAAGGCCAAAATTTTGTCGTAACCATTCAGTTTCCTTATTTAAAAGATGAGTTTGAACATCTTCATGAAGATCTGGAAGCATAAGATGATCTGCCACTGATAAAAGGTGAAGAATATCGGCATTATCTAGTCCTTTCATAAATACAACGCCTGAATATATGTACCTAAAAAAAATAAATAAATAATAAATAGGTTGATAAGACGTTGAAAAATTTTAAATAGTAAATATATATATTGAAAAGAAATTACTTAAGAGCAACAGAAAATGCTTTAGGCTCGAGATTCGGTAACTTATAAACAGTAGAATCAGCGTCGATCGATGGCGATTTCTTGGAAATAGCAGATCGAAAATAAGGAGATCTAGCACGAAGGATGGTTGAATGCGCTTGGAAGGATTTCAGAAAAGAATCTTGACCCACTTCAATGACGAAATTAAAATCGTCAGCGTCATAGAACCATTTAGTTAAGTCTTGCGAGAGAGCTCGATAATAGTTAGAAGGCATGATTGATTTGATTTAAAGCCTGTTATCTGTCATGCTGTAAATATATTATCATTATGTTAAGGAGGTCACACTGCTTCAATGAGTGGCATGCATGCTGATTATTGTTTGCAGATCTTTGAAGTATTGTTGCATCTTGACGGCAAACCATGAATTCAAAACATAGACATAGACAGCACCAAAGAAATACGTCAAAATGAGATGTTGGGTTCTTTATTTAGATAATAATGATGGTTATTTATCTTATTTTGTGTTATGTATGCGTCCTTTAAACCTTTAAATTCACCTTACCATATCTACTAGTTTTTTAATTAATATCTTTTCTATTCAAATTATATGAGCATTGAGTAAGTTTATTTCATAATTATTTAGAAAATTTTTTTGACAAAGATAATACACACATTATATATTAAACTATTCTCGAAATTTACGTAAGTGTACGTAATTCTGTAATTTTCATTCGCGTATGCACTAAATAAGATTATTCAAATTTCGTTGGGTGTGTAATAATTATTAATTGCATACTTATCTCTATTTTTGCTTATGATCTGTGCATAAATTATGTACGTGCGTACGTGCTTGAGCATATAGATGCGTATTATATAATTAGAGTTATAGAGAACTGGTACGTACAGGGAAATTTTTGATGTGATTTATAAAATTCAGGGAAAATATTAATTATTACTTACATGTAACGAAAGAGATGATAGAAGTGTATAACAATTATTTATAATCATAAATTAGATTCTATTTAATTATACAATTTTAAAGTACTTTCAAATAATAAATAAATAAATACACGTGTAATAAATATTAGAGTTATATGACTTCACTATCAAAATAGACTTTTTATTTACGTTAACACTGTAGTAACTTTATCTATTCTGTGAAATAACTTTTTCTTCAAACAAAAAAGAAGAATTAAAGATCTATTTGGAAAGTTCTATAACTGCAATAACTTCTATATACAAGTTATGCTCATTCTAATGAACTCTTGATATCCATATAGTTAAGACTAGTTAAAAATATTGGTATTTTTGAGATCAAAATAAACAATATTTTCTTATCTATATAACTTAAATGATTCTGTAAAGTAATTTAAGTAACAATGATAATAAATTTAGGAATTTAGATTTACCATTTTTTGTTTAAAGATTTTATTTAACCACTTTTGAATCTATCAATACGTAGTAGAGATGCAGGCGAATTGTCCCAATGATGCCGTAACTTTGCCGTAACATGCCATAACTATATTAAATAATTATAAAAAGTTACAGCAAATGTGCCGTAACGTTTTATTATAGTTACGGCATCATTGGGACAATTCGCCTGCATCTCTAATCAATAGGTGTTCGATGTACTATGTAAATCAAAACTATACGTATTAAAACTATATTATTAAAGATTTTTTAATTTAGTGATCGGACTATTAATATACTTATGTGTTTTTGAATGTTTAGAGCGAATTTTCTTCCAAAATCTTATGTTTTAGTATTAAATTTTTTTACTTACAACGAAAATAACTCTTTTGAATGTTTTGTACGGAGTAAACTCAATTTAAATATTAACATTAAAAAAAACCTCAATGTAATATTTTTATAAACATGTTTAAGAATAAATTTATGTTAAAAAAAAAAGCAATTCGTCTAGACATCTAAAAATATGCAAGTTGTTCTTTACTATTGAAATAGTCCGATCACTATCCCGATTACTAAATTTAATAATTGATTTTTTATATAGTATCACAGATTTACATAGTACATTCAATAAATTAATTTTTGTAAACACAATCATTCCCTTAATAACCCATTTTTTGTAGATGACTATGTTATTATCGAAATAACTACTGTGAATGTAATTTTTCCGAGGCTAAAATATCTCAACAATTATTGAACTAAACAAAAAATTTTTTATTTGAATTTTATATAGTTATAGAATTAAAATTAAAAAAAATTTACTAAGTTTGGTTTAATAGTTGTTGAGATATTTTATTACGCTTTGCAAAAAGATGTGAACTCTGTAGATCATTTTGACATGTGAGAATCAGTGATTTTAAGAATTTTAAAGATTTCAATAAATATAGTTGTCATTGATTGAAAATATCGAATAGACAATTTAGAATCTCTGCGGTTTTCTGCCATCATAATCACAAGAATCACATGTTCACATCTTTTTGCAAAGCGCTATAATTTAAAATTTTTAAAAAAACTCACTACCAAAGGAATATTGAAAAGTCTCAGGCCTAGCCTTTCTACCTCTCATTCTAAGTTACTGAAATTGATAGGCCTTAATCTATCTAATTGTATTTCTTTCAGAGGTATGTGAACAATTTGGCAAAACCAGTTGGCACATCACTTTACAGAGTTGACTATTCGACTAAACAGACAAGATGAAGTAGAGATTACTATACCTCTAGAAACAAAAACAATTTGCTTGGTTTCTACTGGCACTCCCCATATGTATATTATAGCGCCTTGCAAAATGATGTGAATATGTGATTTTTGTGATGAAATTTAAGAACCTATATAACTACGTATATATTATAGCGTTTTGCAATAAAGTGTGACATCTGCAGATCACGATGTCATATGAAATCACGAGAAATCAGCAATTTTAAAGATTTTAAACAAAATATACAATTGCTATATGATATGAAATCTAAATCTCAGAAATTTCCAACTACCACCATCACAAAAATCACAGCGTCACACTTTATTACAAAGCGCCTTAATCAGAAATATTACGTTAAAGTACATATATTTAAAAAAATCTTTTTGAAATCGCAGTTTGCAAAATGGTAACCCTATCAGAAATTCTCTTATTAAATTCTCTTTAAAATTTCCCACATCACAAAAAAATCACGGGATCACACCTTTTGCAAAGCATTCCGCATATTACTCAATAAAAATAATTTAGGGAAATTTTTTTTTTGACCCGGGTTAAAATAACCTGACCCCAAAAATTGACCAATCAAAATAGAAAACACTGCGAAATAGTCAGTGTCTTCTATTCTGATTGGTCAATTTTGGGGTCAGGTTAATTATTAAGAAAAAAAGAATTGAACCCCTAGCTTTATTAAAATGAAATATGTAATCCACAAAATTCAATTTAAACACTGCACTGCATCAATATTCTCGGTATAAATATTCTCTCATTATAATTTTCCATAAATTATAATTCACATGGTATGTTAAATAAGTCTTTTTCTGTATAATTGTACGAGACTTAACAAGATATTATTACGATTTTCAATTATTAAATTTAACACGTAAACGAAGTGACGGGTTACACACTATTGAAAAATCAAATTAGAGGCAAGTTGGCTTGTAAAATTATAAATTTAAAAAGTCATTTCTATTTTTTACTTCTTTGTTTTGGTAAGGGGAAATTATTTGAAGAAATAAATATTACTTATGATGAGTAATATTTAGTGATACTGGTTAAACTACTACAAATCTTCAGCGTTTACGTTTATAATAGTTAGTCAAATAATTATAGTCCAAGGATGCTTCGGAATAATTGATAAATGAAAAAAAACTGACACACTTCTCATTTACATTAATTAAATAATTTTGACAATTATTCGTCAAATTATAATTTATACTACAATAGTTTTAACTTCATTAATAAAATAAACCAATAGACTTAATATTTGCATAATCTAATTAAGCTACGAATTCAATTATGATTTATTTTCTTTTATCATTTTCATTATGTATAAAAATGCTATGAACTTCCTTAATCCAACTCTAATCTCAATCCAATCTTCCAAAAAAATGTTGAAAATTTTTATCATTATATTAATCCTTATTCATGTCATCGCTTCAACTTCGTTCAACTCCCTTGACACTGCTGATTTACAAACAATTGGCTTCAAATCAGAGTCTACAAATGATCAATCATACATTGACGTCGATCTTGACAATGATGTTAATGACGAAACCATTGACGATAGTGACATCAATGTAGCAAAACTTAGATATAAAGATCATTGGGCTTGTGTTATTTGTACACCCAAGGTTACACCCGGGATATTTAGATTTGCTTTTCGTTGTACTCGATGCTTTCCACTTCGAAGAAATGGTCCTAAATTAGCCCCTGTCTGAGGAGGTTTCTTCTGGAGAGACGATTTTTACATATAGTTTAGTAGTCAGATATTTACATTTACATAGAATAATTTATGTTTAAACAGCTTATGTTAAAGTATATAAAATCTAAATCTATACGTCTATATGTAATGAATTATGATATAAATAACATTATAGTATACAGCATTTTCTCCATACAATTTGTGCGAGCATTGCAGATTTGGTAGATTTAGTTTTATATTCTAATTTAACCTGAAAGAAATTGGATATTATTTTAAATTCGAAGGTCGAATCCAATTCCAAAACTCTAAACCGGTATACATGCATCAAAATGGTAAAACTTTTTCGCGATTGCATACTATAATTGTTTAATTGTTTTGAGTTTATATTAAATAGAAGAAAAAATTTAAGTTTATTGGTTAAAAAAAAAAAAAATTAATAAGACATTCTTTAATTTATATAAAAAAACCGGTACCATAAACGGACCCTGATCCAAAATTTTTGAGACTATCCGGTTCGGAAAATAACGGGTTTAAAGAAAAATTAAAAATTACAGCTGTTTTCATAAATTCTGGGACATCTGGCAAAAAATGGTCCGAACAAATATTGCCGGTTCGATAAGTTTG